GGCCGTCCGCTGAAAGAAGTTCCTCGCGTACTTCGCTGAGTACTGGAAGAGCTGGCGGGACGCGTAGCTGGCGTCCCGCTGCGGGTCCCAGCTCTCGACGGCCTGAAGCTGCTACTGCTGCTGTAGCCCGGCCACCTCCTCCCCCTCACTCTCCTCCCCCTCCTCCTCCTCCTCCTCTTCCTCCCCCTCCTCTTCCTCCTCCTCCCCCCCCGTTCCCCTTTTCCTAGCTTACTTAGCCCTACGTATACCAATGTGTTCCTACAGATTCCTAGCTTGTTCGACCGACTCTTACCTTTTTCCATGGCAATTCCAATATAGTTATGCCTACCTACTCCTACGTATTCCAAAATACAAATTCTTACCAGCACCTAAATATTCCCACGCCTTCCTACGTATGTATTCATTCCTACCTCGTCCTAGCTACTCCTAGATATTCCTACAAATCCTTTGCCATCCCTACGTATTCCTGTACATCCCTGCCTATTCCTACGCACTTTTTAGCGCCCCCTAGCTATTCCGACATATTCCGAACAGTTCCTACCTCTTCCAACACTCCTACTTATTTATTGCTATTCCTAGCGAGTCCTAGCCCCCCCCATCAATTCCCAGGTATTCCTACATATTCCTGCCGATTCTTGTTGTTCATCCCAGTCACACCTATTCCTGCATATTCCTGCCTACTCTAACTATTCCTAAATATTCCTATTCTTGCCTATTCTAGCTTTTCCTATTCCTAGCTATTCTTATTCCTGCCTATTCTAGCTATTCGTATTCCTAGCTTTACATATTTCTAGCTATTCCGAATTCTAGCTATTCCTATTCATATTCCTGCCTATTCTAGCTATTCCTATTCCTGCCTATTCCTGCCCATTCCTGGCTCTTGCCACCCATTCCTGCCTACTCTACCTATTCCTACGTATTCCTACCTATTCCTGCCGATTCGAGCTATTGCTCCCAGTCCCACCTATTCCTGCCTATTCCTGCCTATTCTACCTATTCCTACCTATTCCTATTACTGCATATTCTAGCTATTCCTATTCCTAGATATTCCTATCCCTGCCTATTCTAGCTATTCGGATTCCTAGCTTGTCCTATTTCTAGCTACGCTTCCCTATTCCTAGCTATTATTATTCTTATTCCTGCCTATTCTATATATTCCTCTCTTGCCTAATTATTCCTGCCTATCCCTAGCTAGTCCTACCTATTCCTGCCTACTCTAGCTATTCTTACCTATTCCTACCTATCCCTGCCTATTCCCACTAACACCTCCCATGCTATTCGTAGCTATGCATACGTCTTCCCTAGCTCTTCCTCCCAGTCCCGCCCTCCCCCTCGTCCCCTCTCCTCCCTCCTCCTCCTCCTCCTCCTCCTCCTCCTCCTCCTCCTCCTCCTCCTCCTCCTCCTCCTCCCCCTCCTCCTCCTCCCCCTCCCCCCCCTCCTCCGCCGCCTCCTCCTGTTCCTCCTCCTCGGCCTGACGCATCTGCCTGCTGCACTCGTACGGGCTGAACTCTAGACACATGAGCCTGACCTCGACGAAGCTCAGCCGCTGCGCGATCCCGCTGAGGGTCCAAGCCTCGTCGCTGAGGCGCCCCAGGAGCTGGTGCAGCACCCTGAGCGCGACCGCGAGGATAATCACCTGGACCGCGCTGAGGAAAAGCTCCGCCTGAGACCTCTGGACGGCCCAGGCGAAGAGCACGGCGACCGAGGCACTGAGGGCGCTGACGGCGCTGGCGTCGGCCATCGCTGCAGAGGGCTGGAGGCCGAGGGGCTGGAGGGTGAGACCCTGAGACCCTGAGGGTTAGCCTGACAGCCTGAACGCTGCGGACGCGAGAAGCCTGAGAATCCGTCTGCTACGAACGCAGACGAGTCTGCGTGCCGACGCAAGCAAACCGCCTGAAACACTCTCGCAATCTGGCTTCCGTGTGGTTCGGAAACAAACGCTTCGCCTGAGACATCCTCAAGAACTGCTCTGACACATCCTATGGGAAATCTTGTGGGTGAGTTCTATGGGGGGGTCCTATGAGGGAGTTCTATGGAGGAGTCCTATGGGGGAATCCCACGGGGGAGTCCTATGGGGGGGGGGTCCGATGGGGAAGGCCTATGGGGAAGTCCTAGGGGAGAGGTCCTATGGGGGAGTCCTGGGGGGGAGTCTTCTGAGTGAGTCCTATGGGGGCGTCCTACGGGGGGGGCCCCCCGCGGCGATGAAGCACACGCGTCGCTTGAGACATCCTCGCAATGTGGGCCCGCACTTCCCTCCCTCCCTCCCTCTCTCCGATCTTCTCAAAGACTGCGAGGTGCCAGGATAACGCCTCCAGGGTGCTGGATGCGTTATACTTTCGCCGGAGAGGGGGGGGGGGGGGTTTCTTAATTGCTTCCTGCGGTTATGGAGATTGATCTCACGTCCACCAAGGACGTCGAAGGAGATGGATGCAGCAAGCGGTTGCAGAATATCGAGAAGGAGCTGCAAGCGGTCAACCAGTTCTTCGGCGCGCTTGGGTGGTTCTGCGCGCGCGCCGAGCTCGAGCCAGAGCGAATCAAGCTCTGCCAGCAAGCCATCTCTAGCAAGCCCCTGCACACTCGTACGCATTCTGTCACTAATCAGATTCAGCAGGCAGAGGCGAAGCTCAAAAGAGGACAGGAAACTGTTCAGACACCAAGGAACCAGTTGCGGAAATTGCAAAGCAACATCGAGGAGTCAGCCAACGGTTTGGAGCAGCAGCAGCGAATTCAGGAGCTCAGTCAGCAGCGCGCCGAATTGGTGGCTCAGGCTGCGGAGGGCAACAAAGGGCCCCAATCATTGATTGTTCATAAGTTGTTGAAGGACTTTGAGGTTCCCGGCTATTTGCATTTCCGACCGCCCAAGACGGCCCAAGGGCCTTCTTCTAAGATAGCTCCAAGACAGCCCATGAGGCCCCCAAGAGAGAGTCGGCCCAAGAGCACCCCAAGATCGGCCAAGAGGCCCCCAAGATGGCCTAAAGACGGCCCTAAAGCGCTCCAAGAGGGCACCAGGACGGACAGTGAGGCCCCGAAGACGGGTTCCGAAGGCGTCGGACAAGCCAATCGCCTCCCTAAGACGCCCCAAAAGGCCCCCCAAAGGCCCCAAGACGGCCCCAGGAGGCCCCCCCTAAGATGCCCCAAAGAGGCCCCCCACTCTCAGGAAGCCCCCAGGAGGCCGTAAGAGGGTCCCAAGAAGCTCTTACTTGATTGTCCTCATTTTCCTTCTCTCCTCCTCCTCGTCCTCCGTAGCGCCCGGACGAAAACGATGTCGGAATCACGACCGTCCCCGATTCAGACCACTCGCTGAACTGTCGCGGGGTGTGAACTGGACCTCATCCCTACCGAGCGGATCGAGTTCGCGACCCGTCCTTATCAGACCACTCGTCGGAGTTGCGCTGTTCATACACTCAGTCTCCTTCTGGTAGCGCTGTTGCACAGGCACGGTGGCGGGGTTTGTCGCAGACAGCTGGGTATTTCCAGGTCGTGACATTCTGACATTGACAAGATCAAGGCCTACGGGTCGAGTGAAGGGCTCTACGAAGCAGGGCTATTTTTGTAGGAGGGTGAGCACTGCTGCTGCCGATCTGGAAATCAAGATGGGGCCCAGCAATCAGCCCTGCCCATCGGAGCAGGAAGGCCGGCAGATGTTTGATCATATTGCAAGTGCTCGTGCATTGAACAAATTCGCAACGACACTGTTGCCAGAATGGCCACGACTGAACGTAGACGGTGTTGAAAGAAAGCTTGGCAGCGGGAGGCAGCCGGGAGCCGAAGGCTGACAAGCTAGAGCACGCCCGGTCCTGGTGCACAGCATTCTGGCGCTGTCAATGTGTCTTTCCTCTGGTCCGGGTGCACGGGCCGTGGAGGGTCATGCTAGCGTTTTTCGAACGAGGTTGGTCAGCGAGACTCGCTAAGGATGGGCCGCAGGCGCAAGGATGCCAGGGTACCCTTGGGAAGTTTGCCCATCCTTACCATGCGGGTTGACTGTAGGAGGGAAAAGATAGCTTGTCCTTCCTGGCTGCTCGGGGGAGATGTTCGAGAGAGCCAAAGAGACCAGTAAGCACAGCCAGGCCTTCCCAGATTCTAACTGCTCTGGCACTGTTTTGCGATACGCATGCCTACGCTACTGGTGGATAGGCTTGTACGTAACCTCAAAGGGGATTGCCTTGGCAAGGCAGCCTCTGAATTTGCCTCTTGGGCATGGAGACAGCTTTGCTCGGTTAAACATGCAAAGCTCACATCTGTCCAGGTCGAGCCTTTCTCTCTTGCTGCCGATGCCAGTGAGTATGAGGGAGTGCGTTCAGGGCGCTCCTCCTCCCAAGCTGCCCCGTCGGTCTCGGCACGGCCAGAACCAGGTTGCACAGCTCAACGAGGTTCGTTCCCGTCTTAGGGCTGAGGAGGGCGGTCAGGATTCAACAATTCGGATTTTGTCAGCCGTTTCTGTTTCAGACGATTCTGAGAAACCCCACTCGAGGGTCAATCTGTCAAATCGTTTCAAGTTCCACCGCGGCCGCTGCCGTGGTATGCTGACGCCCCCTACCAAGGATGCCTGACCTCGACTCGAGCAAGACCTGCGCACACCTCTCTTGGATGCAGGAACCACGCTGGTGAACAAAACTACTTGTCTCTTAATTTTCTTCCGCCCCCCTCAGCGGCGAATGCCACAGGGGGGGGCAGGGGGGGCGCAGCGCCAAGTGCACGGTACCAGTGCCCGCAGCATCGAGCATCGAGGAGAAAGAGGAGGAGGAGGAGGAGGAGGAGGAGGAGGAGAAGGAGGAGAAGGAGGAGGAGGAGAAGGAGGAGGAGGAGGAGGAGGAGGGGGGAGGAGGAGGAGGAGGAGGAGGAAGGAGGAGGAGGAGGAGAGGAGGAGGAGAGAGGGGAGGAGGAGGAGGAGGAGGCGGAGGAGGAGGAGGAGGAAGCAGGATAAGCAAGGGAATGCGGCGCACAAAGCAGACGGAGAGGACCTTCCGAAGAGGGCCCCGGCGCCCCGCCCGAGAGCCCCAGCCTGGCCGGTGCCGCCGGCGACGTCCGCGGCGACGCGGTCGGTTGGAATGGCGCTCTCGGTGGCGCCGTCGATTGGCCCCTGGGGAAGGAGGAGGGATGGCCCAGCCCTCACAGCAGGAGGGAGGGGAGAGGAGGAGCAGGAGGGGGGAGGAGGAGGAGGAGGAGGAGGAGGAGGACGAGGAGGAGGAGGAGGAGGAGGAGGAGGAGGAGAAGGAGGAGGAGGAGGAGAGGAGGAGAGGAGGAGGAGGAGTTGCAGGAGGAGGAGGAGGAGGAGGAGGAGGAGGAGGAGGGGACTGGGGGAAGAGGGGGAAGGGTGAGGGAGGGAAGAAAAGAGGGAGGAGGAAGGTCGTGTCTGGCCGACGGCAAAAATCTGGCATACAAGGCCGTGGGCTGAAGTGGCCACCTGAACTGGACAGAAGATGATCCGCGGATGGGCTGACGAAAGAAGGCGAAAGACCTCAACAACCAGAAGGCAAGATCCCGGAGCCGTCGGGGGCTGACGCCGGAACAGACTTCACACCAACCATGCCTGGAAACTTAATGGAACCCAGAAGCGGCAGGGCATTTTTTCACCGTTTCCTTAAAATGTCTCTTGAAAATGGAAGCGGCCAAAAACAACGATCAGAAACGGCAACAACAGTTCCTGGGTTGGAACCGGAGCCGGAACCGGAAAAACAACATGGCGACTGAACCAGCAGCAAAAACGGCGTCGGAACCGGCGACAAAAAACGGCAAAACGGAACTGGTAAAACACGGCCCTGTCATTTGCAGGGCCCACTAAGCCTTAATGAAGACGAGCACTAACGTTAGGTCGGGGATGTCCTCCCACAGTTAGGCAAACATACTCGAAGTAGTCAAAAGAGCACAAACAACTCCTCACCTGACTATTTTTGGCTACTATTCTTGCGTGCTCCTCGTGTATAGAGGGACGTGCCCGACTGAACACTAAGCCTGGAGGAAGACGAACACTACCCCTGCACAACACCGAAGTCACGACGCGGAGCCCCGATGCGCTCGCCGAGTGCTGCGCGACCCTCGGCAGACCTGCACCACATTGAGAAACGCAGCGCGCGCGCGGAGGCCCTCTCGCAGCAGCGCTGAGCGCGCGCGCCTCCGTGTCCGTCTTTTGTCAGTGCGACAAGCGCCCACCGTCAGTGACTCCGACAGCAGACCGTAGCTCGGTGGCGAGCCCGGGGGGGAAGTGAGAAAGGGCGGGCCTTCTCAGAAGGCTCGGCAGCCCCACGGCGCCTCCTGAGAAGGTTTGCACGCCGTCCCCCAAGATGCAGGAGACCCCTCAGAAGGCGCGAAGGGCTTCTGAGCAGCCCCGCCGCCTTCTGAGAAGGCTCCCCCCTTCTCGCTTCCCCCCTTGCTCGCCGCCGACCAGCAGTAGAGGGCAGAACATCCACCCCCCATATTAAGCACCCCGACAAGCGAAAGCGTTTAGTAAGCGCACCCAAGGAAGGAATCGAACAAGGCAGGCTTGTCCATTGACCGCCCAGGGCCGCTGGTAAACGCCAGATGTCGGGGTCTGGGTGGCTTTTCTCGAAGAAGGAAAAAACACACATAAACATAAACTTTTGGCGCTCCGCGCGGATATCTTGGATCCGCGCCTGGCCCCCCCACCCCGCGGCGCCTCTGGCGACGCCCCTGGCGCGCTCCGAGCGCCAGGGAGGGGGGGGCCAGCGCGAATCCAAGAAATCCGCGCGGAGCGTCGAAAGTTTATGTTTCCGTGCTTCTTTATGATTATGTCTCCCTCCCTGGAAGCAGCGAGGGCAGCGCGTCGGCAAATCGGAATCGACCCGCCGCGTCGAACGGCCGTGAGAAGCTCGGCGCTCGCACCACTCGGAGAGGCCTGCTGGATCGGGGCCGAGTAGATTTAGGTCGGGCGTGTCCTCCTACAGGGGGATGTTGGACAAACAATTTCAAAAAAATGAAAATATTTAAAAAGTGCCAAAAATTGTCAAACATCGTCCCCACACTATTTTTTTGCCTATTTTTGAATATTCCCCCTGTAGAGGGACACGCCCGACTTAAGAGTACATGCGGTCGGGGGACCGCGCCGCATCGCCAATGCATCGGCGATGCATCGTCGATGCTTCGCCGACGTACCTGCGACATCGGCGTGGAGAAGATCGGGCTCCACATCGAGCCGCATCGCCAATGCATCGGCGATGCGGCGCGATCCTCCGACCCCCATCTGCTCAGATCCCATCTGGGAGGTCTAGAGCCCTCCTCTCGGTCATGCGCAAAAGGGGGAGGGGGAGGAGGAGGAGGAGGAGGAGGAGGAGGAGGAGGAGGAGGAGGAGAAGAAACTTTCGCACCACCAACTTTCGCGCGATGCTCCGACCCCGTCTGCTCCGACCCCATCTGGACAACAGGCGCAGGCGCACGCGGGGGGCAAGCCGCACGGGGAGCCTCCGGCGCCGCAGCCTGAGCGGAGCGCCACGGGTCAGCCTGGAGATGCCACGGAGGATGCAACGCGCCAACGTGCTCCCACTCGGCACGGGGACGCGCTGGCGTTCATCCCGACCCACGGAGGGCCGAGACCGCACGGCTCGCCAGAGCCCCGCGCACCACCGGGGGCGGAGCCTCTGCAGACCCATGGCCACTGCTCGCTGTGCCACGGGCCCCTCGCTGTCCGAGACCGTGCGGCAAGCTCGTGCGGCGTCGGCGCGCGCAAGGAAAAGGGCCCGCCGACCTCGAGGGCGGCGACCACGACCCGGAGGAGGCCGACCCGAGCCTACGATGAAGTCGGGCCTGTCCCCCTACAGGCGGTTTTTGATCGAAAAATGAAAAATACACCCAAAATGTAGAACAATAGCGTGAAATAGTCAAAACATCGTCCCCAGACTATTTGTTGACTATTTTTGAAAATTCCTCCTGTAGAGGACAGGCCCGACTTACAACTACGAGGAGGGCGTCACCGTGGAGGGCTACAGAGAGGCTGGGGGCCCGCGTCCATGGCTCGGAGGCCTGCGCCACGGATGCGCAAAGGTAGATACTGGCGGAGGCGGCACAGAACGCCGCGCCGACCATTCCACCTTGGATCGATCGCGGCCCCGATCGTTCAAGGCTGAGTCGGGCTCAGTGGCGTTGCCGTGTCCACCGGCGCTCTCGCGCCGCAAGGTTCAGCCTTGAACGCCTTCGCCGGCGTCACCGGCGCGCCAACGCCGCACGAACCTACCGTAGCGTCGTCGTCGTCGTCGTCGCCGCCGTCGTCGTCGTCAGGCTCCGCTGCGCGCGAGCTGTTTTTTTTGCTGCGCTGGACGAACTCATCACACGCATCTTGTTCTCTGCCGTGCGGGTTGTGCCTCCCTCCTGGTCATTATCGTGCCGAACAGCCGTTGTGAATGGATTCTCCCGCCGCCGCCTTGCTCAGCGCTTCTGTGGACCAGTCCCACGTGAACACCTGATAGACATTGAACATGTTGTGATCCCACATATCGATATATACATACATACTCGAATGATCCTGATGGAGTTGCGTTTGTATCGGCAGTCAATCTCCGCCCAAAGCTAGCTCCTGCTCTATCAACATCCGCGTGTGGGCATCGGGCTGGGCATCCTCGGTCAGCACGCTCCTTCATTTCCCACTCGTGGTTGTTGAGGACGCTCTGAGAGCGTAGCAGAAGGGGGGTACTAATGCGCTTACTAGTAGCGGCAGAAGCACAATGAACTCCTCTAAGGTCACATTGCCAGCCGCTCGTCACCACGGACAAGACAACACACTAGAAGAGAAAAACACCACTCCGAGGGGAGCAGCATTCATCTTACCCGGGCTTCGCAACGGACCCTGAAAAGCGCTGCCAACGAAATGCCTGAGAGAGCACCGGCCAACACCGAACTACGAATCCAGCAGGCTGGGTCGCCGGGCGAACGGCCCATGCAGCGCACCTGACGCCCATGCTGGCCCGGTGGGCAACCCGACAAAGAGGCCTGGACGAGGGCAGCGGTGCCGCCAACCGTCGAAGCACTCGGACACTGCCTGGCACGTGTGCAGCCGCCGCCCCCAGCGTCCCAGAAGCTTGTGGTGGGCGGGCAAGGTGCCCCCAACATGCAGGAGCAGGAGGAGGAGGAGGAGGAGAAGGAGGGGGAGGGGGGGGAGGAGGAAGGAGGAGAAGGAGGAGGAGGAGGAGGAGGAGGAGAAGGAAGAGGAGGAGGAGGAGGAGGAGGAGGAAGAGTAATTTCTCATCACTCGGTGGCTCTGGGTGGCCCACAGACGCCCTGCGGCATCTTATAGAACCCCCAAAAATCGACGAAGAATGCGCCCCATGATTTCTTATAGCAAGGTTCCTTATCGTATTTGTCCACTGTAAGACAGGGCGCCGATGAGCGGCGGCATGAGAAGCGCCAGGCCTAGTGGCGCTACATGCCTCAACGGTGCTGGAAACATGCACTGGCACTTCCGCAGGCCCAAGCAGTGCCGCAGCGTACGGCACAGCTGGCGTTCAACACAGGAACAAAATGCCGCAGTGGCAACGAGGGGGGGTGGGCGAGGACGACGATTATGATGGTGGCCCGAAGCGGGAGCGAAAGCGGCAACAATGGGGAGCCTGACGAGATGGAGGAGGGAGAGGAGGAGGAGGAAGAGGAGGAGGAGCACGAAATGGAAAGCGTGGCCGAGATATGGGAGAGGTGTAGAGGGATCGGCGGAGAAAGAACAGGATGAGGAGGAAGAGGAGGAGAAGAAGGCGGACGAAGAGGGCGAACATGAGGGAGTGCAAGGCGGAACAAGGGGAGCAGATGCGGGAGGGTAAAGTCGGACGAGGCCAGCTATCAACAGGAGGGTGGCGGAGAGCGCTGGGACGCGCTAGAGGGCGAGCAAGGATGAGGAGGAGAAGGGCGAAGAGGAAACAGAGAGAGGAGAGGCAGAGGCGGAAGAGGAGGGCCGAGGAGGGGGAGGGGGCGCCAGTGAGTGAGCCTCCCCCGTCGCGCCAAGAAGCGCCCCTTGGGGGTTGGGCGGGGAGAGGCCGCCGCCCTCTGAGGCGGAATGTGCCCCGGGCGTCGCCGCAGCGCTGCTGGCCCTGTCGGCGCCGCTGGTGGGATCACGCAGTCACGGCTGCCAGCGTGAGTCTGAAAGCAGCGGGCTGCTTCGCACTCGATGTGCACTCGTGTCGTCGCCGTCGTCGTCGTCGTCGTCGTCGTCGTCGTCTTCGTGCGACGACGACGACGTCGTTTATTATCCGGGGCAAATCGTTTATCATCCCCCAGGGACCCCGAACGTTGTGACCCCCCGGGTGTTTCTCTCAGGCGCAAGTGGTTCATCAACCTTGCAGAGCTTGAAGTCGACAACCCCACTGCTCGCGCAATCATCCCCCCCTCCCATCCGCCACAGCCCATGGGGTCGCGATTGCGGTGACTACTTGGCACTTGCTGGCGCATCTCTGCGGCTGCGCTAGCGTGCGCAAGCTCGCGCGCAGAGCGGCCAGCTGGTTTGGCACAACTGATGCGGCCGCGATGCCAACTACCGATGGGGACCTCCCAGCGCGTCTCAAAGGCCGCGCTGGCGCGCAGGCGCTTCAGTGTGGGTCGGTGACTCGGACTGGCGAGGTATCACGATGACGTCGACTACGGCGGCAGCAGTGATGATAGTAGCGATGGTGGTGGCGATGATGACGGACGACGGGTCCGATGCTGGTGACGATGATGACGATGATGTTTTCCATGTGCTGGTGATGAAGGGGATCACTGATGATGGCGGCAATAGCAGGGAGTGGCGATGACGAAACAGGCGGTGATGCAGTAGCGCTGATGGGGGTGATGGTGAAGAAATGCGCGCGCGGAAATGCTGGACACCGGGCACACTTGTTGAACAAACGCCACGTGGCTTTTCACACGTTGAAAGGATTTCGACACGCGCACGTGGCGGCGCTCGCGTGTGGCCCGCATGGAAGTATTCGACGCGGATTCGTCCACTGGGGATCAAAGCAGATGCGCCGCGTGGTGAGATGAGAACGCGGGTTTGGACGATGTCGGGGAGTCAAGTTTTCTTTTGGCAGAACATCTGCGCGGCACAACCCGAGGGACGCAGCCGGCGGCACTCAAGCCATGCGGCGCAAGGTGCGCGGCGCACGGTGCAGGGCGCAGCCCATGCAAGCTGTGTGGTGCGGGGCACGTGGTGCGGGCAGTGGGGTGAAGTGTGTGCGGTGCGGTTCACCTATGGGAGTTGCAACCGTCAAGTCGGGCCTGTCCCTCTACAGGGGGAATTTTTAAAAATAGTCAAACAATAGGCTGGGGATCATTTTTTGAATATTTTTTGACTATTTTTGATTGTTCGTCCAAAATCCCAATGTAGGGGGACAGGCCCGACCTAATGCAACCGTCAAATCCAATGCTCGCGCAAACATCCCAACTGACTAAGCTCATCTGGCCATGATCTCAACGAGCGCACGGGCGCGTGGCACTTCATCGCGCAAATTCAAAACCGTTCCGCGGAACGGTGGTGGCGATGGTGACGACCGCGAGGCCAACGACGATGGAGATGACAGTGGTGATGACGCTGACACTGATGGTGATGACTGTGATGATAGGGACGGTACGACGTCGACGAAGACAATGCTGCTGGTGATGATCATGACGGAGGCAAAGATGACGCTGGCGATGGTGGAATGACGAAAAAGGGGCAGTGCCAGCGTGCATAAACTTGACGAGGGCGACATCGATGACGACGACGGTCCTCGATGTCCCACTGGCAGCTCGACGCGAGCTGCGCCAGGGCCAGCGAGCAGATTTGGTCCATGACGGTGATGTTGAAGTTGTCCACGCTGGCGCCCTGCACGGCGTGAGGTGAAGATGGTAAGGGGAAAACGGCCTGTCCGCCGATTTGCACCAATGTCCATCCTCCTCCTCTTCCCTCCTACCTTCCCTCCGAAACCTCCCTCCGCTCCCCTCATCTTCTCGTCCCCTGATCACGTTCCTCTTCCTCCCGCAATTTCCCCATGTGCCCCCATTCTCGCCGCCCCCCCTTCGCCCCACGTGAAGTAGCATGCAACAGCTGATTCGGCGACGTCGATTTGTGACCGCCGTTTGACCTGAAGAAGCTGCGTGACCTTGGGGTCGCTGGTCGCAGTGTCGACGGGCGTCTCGAGAGCAGCGGCAGCCTGCCCCATCCACGCACAAGCACACACTACTATACGCACAAACAAACACGAGCAAACCCGCACGTGCTCCCTCTCACCCGCACGCAAACACAAACGCGCACGCACGCACGCACGCACGCACGCACGCACACACACACAGAGAGAGACACAGACACAGACACAGACACAGACACACACACACACACACACACACACACACACACACACACACACACACACACAAGCACACACACACACGCACGCACGCACACGCACGCACGCACGGCACGCACGCACGCACGCACGCACGCACGGCACGCACGCACGCACGCACACGCACGCACGCACGCACGCACGCACCGCACGCACGCACACACACGCACACACACACACACACACACACACACACACACACACACACACACACACACACACACACACACACACGCACGCACGCACGCGCACGCGCACGCGCACGCGCACGCGCACGCGCACGCGCACGCGCACGCGCAAGCGCACGCGCACGCGCACGCGCACGCGCACGCGCACCCGCACCCGCACCCGCACCCGCACCCGCACCCGCATCCGCATCCGCATCCGCATCCGCACACACACATACACATACACATACGCATACACATACAAGACACACAAACACACGATCACCTGCACGCACGCATGCACGCACGCACGCACACCGGCACACGCATACCAATATGCCATGTTGAATGGCACGATCCCAGCGCCACGACGCGTCGGCGGCACAGTGGGCGAGGTCCAGGCAGAGGCTGCAATTATTCACATACCTGCTGTTCAACATGTAGCGCATGCGCGACCACCAATGTGCGAAACAACGCGAATCTGTAAGTAATGAAAATCGAGACATCAACGGGAACACATCAGATCTCAATTATTGAGCGTTGTTTGCACATCTGCTCCTCCAAACGAGGACGATGCACCAGCTAGCAATCAGCTAGCGGGATGCTCGAATGCATGTTTTGCGCGCGCGCACACACACATACGCACGCGCGAACACACACCTACACATATCAACACACAATCGCCGACACATGTATATAAACGCGCATGCGTTTTTGGAATGAGTGTGCCAACGCAACTGAAGACACCCGCGCTTGAAACCGTGCCATCGAGAGGCATTCCGTCACAAGTGCCAGGGGCACGCTCCCTTCCAATGCAAACACGATGGGGCCAACGAACGGTGTGGTCGCGCCCTGTCTCACAAAAAAATTGATACACGCGAAATATAAAGCGCTGGCGCCAAGCATTATGCACTGCTCCCAGCACCTGGGACTTCACCATCGCCACCACATAAAATTTGACTTTTGGCTTACTCACAGATCATATCGGCCAATGGCCAATAAGTGGCAGGCGTATTGCTTGCACGAGTTGGAACCACTCACTAGAGATAAATCGTGCCAGTGGCGCTGCCAGCCTTAGGTCGGGCATGTCCCCCTACAGGTGGATTTAGGTAAAATTAATGAAAACATTGTTCTACCAAAAAAAGCATAGCCCCCATACGATTGTTTGACTATTTTTCTGTATCCTCCCCGTAGAGGGACAGGCCCGACTTAATGCCGGTCCTTCAGCTGGCGGAGTTGATAAGCTCTGTGCAGCTCTGCTCGCGAGCGCCTCTGCAGCAACCAGGTGCAATCAGGACAGTTCGCGTGCACGGCGGTCCTCGTTGTAGGTCTGGCGCGTCCTCCTACGGGGGGGATTTCGGAAGAGAAATAAACATTTTCCCGGCGGAGGACCCAACGTGCGCAATTGTGAATGCCGCAATTATGAATGGCATATTTGCCCGCGCTCCCTACGGGGCCACGAACCGTGCGAGGGCGCGCCAGAATGCGTGGCGGGGCACGCAACGCGAGCGAAGACGATAGGTCTGCGCGCGAGAGACTGAGCGCGAGCGAATCTGATTGCGAATGAGTCTTCGCGCGAATCAGTCTACGCGCATCAACGTCGACGTCCATGTCGGCGCGCTCCCCCCGAGGATCGTGCCCGCTTCCTTCTCTTTATTTTCTCACCTCTTTGCACGCGCGCGTCCGTGTCCGAGGCTGCGGGCGCGGCGCTGCGCGGAGTCCCCGCGATGCGCGCCAGTCGCCCCGATGGGGGCCCCGGCGACGCGCGCGGGTCGTCCGCCCCGCGGGGCAGAGAAAGCTAGCTGGCTGGCCGATAGCGGGTAAGGCTGCGGCCGCTGGGCAGAGAGACGACGGGGGCGAGCGAGGCTCTCGGCACAGCGCAGCGCGGTATTCCCGCGACGCGCGCTGGTCGCCTCGAGAGGACCCCAGCGACGCGCGCGGGTTGCCCGCGGCGCGAAGCCAAACAGTCAGACCGTCAAGAAACGGCGAGGCTCGGGCGGGTCGCTTTTCAAGAGGTCTCCAAAACGTGTGAGGGGCCATGAAACGTGTGAGGGGTGTGCCAAAATAGGGCGGCACCGCCATGCGGTCTGAACCACTGAGACCTTCGGTGGGGCTCCCTATGGGGCCACAACACGTGTGAGGGGTGTGCCAAATTGGGGCGGCGCCGCCATGCGGGCTGCGCCACTGGGACCCTAGATGGGGCTCCCTATAAGGCCACGAAGCGTGTGACGGGTGTGCCAAAATGGGGCGGCGCCGCCATGCGGGCTGCGCCACTGGGACCTTCGGTGGAGCTCCCCTTATGGGGCCACGAAGCGTGAGGAGTGTGCCAAA